TCACTCATTATTATTATTATTATTATTATTATTGTTATTATTCTCATTATTATTGTCACTATCGTCATTATTATTGTTATCGTCATTATTATTATCACCATCATTGTTGTTATTACCGTTATTATTACTATTTTCATTGTCATTATCATTACCACTGTTGTTATTGTCAATTATTGTTATTATTGTTATTGTTATTATTGTTATTATTATTATTATTCTTTATTCAGCAAATCCATTATCGTGCTTAGATGTTATTCACGAAGCATCCAGCAATTGTCTGTCATCCTTGCCACATGACCAGCCCAGCTCTTCTGTGTGACGTACACTGCCTGCGAGTAATGGTTATTTACGTCAGATTTCACTGGAAACGTGTTACAGCTTACTTTCACCCTACCGTTTGTTGTTCCCTGAATGTTAGGTCAGTGCATCTCAGCTGCCATTAATGGATGTTTTGTAGCGAAAACAGAACATACCGATTCGTTGCTTCACAATTTGGTGCGCACTTTCGTTCACTGCCAATTTTTACTTTTCTTCATTCCTCGTAATTTGTGATATGCACGATTTTCAGGTAATAAATGCGTGGAAGTGCGTTTTTGCGACGATTAGCTGCAACAGGCGCGTTTTGCCGAGGACCGGTGAACACAAGGGGATGCCACTCGTCGTTGCCGGCGACGGACGCCTCGCGCACTTTGGATATCGTCAAACAGCACAACATCCCGATCGAGAGGGTTTCGCTGAGCCGAGGACTGGCACTCAATCGCTTTGAAAAAGTTTGTATGTCGTGTTTGCTACTGCACCCGTTTTGGTATAATTTGTTATTTTGCGGAATAAATGCGTCCGAGAAGGGGCTTGCTTTCGTTGTCCCCCCGCCCCCTCCCCGCCCCTCTCTTCCTTAAATTACACGCGGAGAGTACCGTAGGGGAAAATTAATTTAAAGAAAAAAAAATGTTTGAGCGCCAAATCGCTAGCAGGATGGGATCCGCTAAAACGATGCGGAATTCAGCCGAAATGCATCAGAATTAGGTGAAAAGTTTAAGATTTTGTCGGTGAGAAAATTAAAAATTAGAAAAGAGTTTGTTGGTGAAAATTTTGTCGATTTTGTCAGTGAATTAACAATTATGCAAAAACATCAAAGCACACACGCCACGACATTGTCAGTCACTTGGCTCCTCCGTTATTGACCCTTTTTTTTATTTTTTCCGGGTGATTTTCTTTTTTTTAAGGATTTCTTCATTTATCCCGAATACTCAGACACGGATGCAGCAGAAACTGCACAGCAATTAGCATCCGACCTGAAAGATGCCATTCTGGAAGCTGGTAAGTTGTAGAGATGCAGCAATTTTGATGAAAAATACTAAAGAAAAAAGACTTGCTATTATTCTTCATGGGTTTGTTCCTGTTGCCGACAAGTGCAAAGTTTTTATTAAAAAGTGGAGTGTTAAATTGGATTTAAAAAGATAAAGACATACGGCTGTGAGCATTTTTCTTAGGTTTGAGAA